ATACATTTTTTTTCCTTGAACTCGTGGTTACACTGTAAACCGCGATAAAGATAGTGACACCGCTTGTATCAGCAAGACGTATCTCTCATCCAATAACACAATATGGAAATAGTCGCAGTTTAGTTGAGATACGTATTGCCGACACGTTATTTGATCGTTCTGTAAAACTACAAAACCCCTGTTGCAGCACAATAGACGATACGCTATAGATGTCATACCTACTAATAACATGGCCAAGATGCCAAGGAGGCTCGAGCCCTCCCTCTCAGTGACGTGTTTATATAATATTTTATGATTTGAGTGTTAAATTATACATTTCCCTTTATTTCTTCCGCTCTTGAAAGAACGTTTTCTATACACTGAATCGTATATGAACATTGAACACGTATTTAAGGAGCTGCACTACTTATGTATGTTCCTATTATAATACGCTTAGGACGTAGATAATTGTAATATAATGTGACGTGCAATGCGAGGACCATAAAGGATCATGGCGCGGAATCAGCTAATGAGGCTAGAGCAGTTTTATATAGAATTGAGACCGACAGGCAATAATGGCCAGCGAGATACCCAGACAATATTGTTGGTGGGACGGAATCATAAAGAAGACCCGGGGAAATCGGTTAGAATACAATATTACTTATTAGACACGAAGACGGATATGGAATAAAGTATTGGCTTGACAGCTAAGGCTAATAAGCCTTTAGTAGCTGTTAAGCTACTGTAGAGAAGAAGAAGGATATGTAGGTAACTTTAATGCGCATTACAGGTATTCTAAGCGACAGTTATTCAGTGTGACATTTGAAGGGAGCAGGCGTGATGATCGCCACTCTCCCCATTGGTCATTTTTACAATTTTGAAATTTTACTTAGGTACTTAGAAAAATAACAGAGCGGGTCGGACATTTAACCGCTTCGTATTAACTAACATTGTTTGATTATGTTCAAAATACAATACATCAATTGCATTCAGGGTTTTTATTCGATTATAGATTTTCGGACGTGACATCGTTGAAAAATAACATTGAAATAATAAGGTCTTATATAATATGCAGCGAACGAAACATAGAAATGACCGCGATAACAACAAAAAAAAAAAAAAAAAAAAAAAAAAAAAAACCGTAAATAAAAATATGTTTGTTCGTTAATAAATTCAATAATTCGTCCGTCAATGTACCTATGTATAGAGAATATTATTTTCTAATTTTTTTTTTTTTTTAAAAAAATGTACTAACATACGTATGTATATATGTACCTGTATAATGTCCACGAAAAATCCTTGGCTCATTATAATAATATTATATGATTCATTCGTACCGAAGGTTAATTCAATTATTATTGTATTTGGCTTGAAATTTTTATTAATATATAGCGTAATTCGACACTTGAATAACTAGTTAAATGAATAAAAAATTCGAAATCCATCTGATTATAATTATGACAGTAATAATATTATATAATATATTGATATATATGTATCGGTGTTTGTAAAAAAATAAAAATATAATGGAAATTACGTATAGGGTTGGATATCGTAAATGCGGTATTTTGTAAAAAGTATTTTAAATATTTTCGATTACATATTAAAAAAAATAATAATCGAGTACACAAATACCTGCAGTATATGTTTAAATATAAAAAGACAAAATACCTTTCTTCTTTTATTTTTTTTTTTAAATTATTGAATAAGTGAATACACACACACGTATATATATACGCTGTACTATTATGCGATGATTATTTTTTAAATCGAAACCGGTCGTATATGTTTACACACAACCGTTATATCGTAATACTCTGGGCCCGTGCTTTATTTTGTTATTTTTCTATCCATATGCATTTGTTTTGTATAACTATACAATTTTTTTTTTTTTTTTTATATTCAATAGGTAAATAGTTAAATAAGTATTTACCTAAAATATATTAAAAATACCGTCACCGATATATTATCGTGCTTGGTTCACCACCAGGTACCTGATACGTATCGCGCGCATTACATTGTGCATACGTCTTTAATAAACGAACGTTATTATCGTGTATTTTATATCCGATAAAAACGAAATTGACTCGACACCCGGACAGTGGCGTGCGTTAGAGACGGGCCCCCCTACCCGACCATCGGGATTAAATTCAGCATAACGGAACAACTGTATACGGGGATATTATTCAAGAATTTAATCTCGACGTGCGCATTGTATTTCGGCCGAGTTACCGCGGGAAAACTTTGATTCCTAAAACAGAGATTGGATTTTTTGTATAAGTCGTTTTAATCCCAACCGTCGTCGGGTTGTTAGGCATACGGGTAAAAGTCTCCGTACGATTTGTCCGTAATTGTTACCGTTTACTACACCGCATCCCGTTGCAAATTTTCGCGCACTCCTCCGCTGCCTCGGGTACGTGTGTGGTGCAGCGTACGCAAGTAGGTAATTAAGATAGTTTTTGAAATACTTAACCCAATCGCGATATTTTAAAACGTATTCAAATGCAATTATCACGCACACTACTATCGGCGGTATACAAGACGCGTAAATCACCACGGTGCAATCGTCGTCGGTCGGGGTCAGTGACTTAAAAAAAAAAACAAAATAATAATAAAGACACGCGAAAACGGTTTTAATAATAATTATTGTACGCCGCGCGGAAATAATACGGCGTTTAAGTTTTTGTTTTTTTTCAGTGTTGTGCGGCGAATACACACACATACACACCGGCTATCCTCTATACATTCGTGATGCGACATATTGTCCTAGATTTCGAATCGCCTCGCCGACGGAAAAAGAGAGAAAAAAAACCCACTCGGAATCGTGAGCCGAGCCCGCGGTAATGGTTGTTGTGTTTTTTTTTTTTTTTTATTTTTATTATTATTATTTTTTCTTCTTAGCCCGACGACGGTGGGCGAATCTGACTAATTACCGGGCATTAGTCATCTGATACGTTTTTTTTCCATCTCCGCGTGGTCTTTTTTTAGTTTATTGTAATTAACCGCGCGCGCGGCGGCGGCGGCGGCGGCGGTTGTGCGGTGGACGGCCTCGGGGGGCCTCCGACTCTATCCGGCGCTGTGCGCCCGGACCGAATCAGACCGATAATTAAACGCTAATTATTGGTCGCCGGGCGATCTTTTGTTTTTTTATTTTCTACATAACACATAGGTGCACGCTAACGTTCTCTCTATTAAAATGAAAAAAAAAAAAAAATAATAATAAAACGTTTCACGGGGAGGGGAGGGGGGAACGAAAATCGTCGGACCGCGACCGCGCGCGGTGTGCAACGATACAGACTCCGATGTTGCGGTACCTACCCGTACGATTTGTATTATTATATTATCATGTGGGCTGTGGGCATTTTGTAATAACATTAATATTTTATCGACGGTCCGAATAATCGCGATTCGCCGCGAGTCACATCACGAGATCTGCCGCGAGACTGGTTGGCTCTCGGCGAAAAAACAAAAAAAAATTAAAATTCGACCATCATAACATTATTTGATCGTTCAACCGTTAATCAAGAACCGTCAAAGCGTTGGGTTTCATTAAGCGTAGTACAAAATCGTTTCAGTTCAAATATGCCTCTGTCTATGATTCTTTACTTTAGTACGATCGTTTATACGCATAGGAATATGGGGGACAGAGTAATTTTTCCCGAAGATATCGAAAATCCGATCATTACGAAATACTTCGTGACCCATTCACGTGACCCGTCTCGTGAGGTGTTTTTTATTTTTTCCCTGTGGTCAAGTCGAAACAATAGTGGTTTTTCATCGGCTAGGCTTTAGATTTAAACTTAGAAGACATTAGTTTCCACGGAGCAGTATTTTCGTTTTAGGTGGCCACATAATCAAAACTTTTTGTTTCTTCCATGGCTTTGGGAAAAATGTTTTTATTCAGGAATATGAACACAGTTATTCGGCACTCTAATCAGTTATCTAGTGAAGTATTGATAGATCATCAACGCCACGAACGCTCACTTATTCGGTCCGGATTAAACATATATGCTGACTATATAGTGGACCCCACCTCATCGCCATGACGTCGACCTCAAATTAATTTCATCAGTTCTTAATGACTCCGTGAACGTTCTTGACATCTTATCCAGCACCTCAATATTCTGCATTTCTCTCCGTATTAATCTAGGAATAACTGTACATTCCGCCATCGTTCCACCCAAAATGACCAAAACCGTAAAATGAACGTCCAATAATATCACGCGGCTTAGCGGTATGAATTTAATTTCAAGTTTAAATTGCACGATTGTTCTGGAGAACTGTTCGCAATTGTAATGTTATTATTATCTCGTTTATTATTGTCAATGTACCGATTTATTATCTCACGTTCGCAGTTTACTTGTAACTAAAAGTTGCGATGGGGGACGTTAGCGAGTTAAACATAAACAATTTTTCGGTTTAGAGATCGATTCCGTGTGCGATTCCAAACCACGTTAAATGGTACCGTGGTATTCGGAGACGTGAGGCCGTAAGTATTCGATTTATTAGCGGGGTATTATGCAATTCGTGATAAGTCTTATTTGATTTTTTTTTTTTTTTTTTTTTTTTCGTATAATAAAATGGCCCGTGTCAATAAATCGATGTACAAAATCCAAGTCACCGCGAGAACGTTGGCCACAGGTCGTAGGAGGGTTTTTCGCCCCTGCTGCGTAAAGCCGTGACGTTTTCAGTTCTAACCGTTTCTCGTAAAAACCGTCAGTTCCGTTCGCGCGGACGACAAATTCCACCATGTTTTACAGCTGTAGAAAAGCGTATAATATTGTAATTATTTTAAATCGCGTATCGAACGAAGAAACCGTCGTACCCACTTGCGTTTGCGAAACATATGTTTGGCAACCGTAATATTTATTTCATTTTTTTTTTTTCGCCTTTAAACGCATAATAGTAATAAGTATTTTACATTCGATAATGAACGCCGTCACGACTCGCAACTGCGTAATACTAATTAGAAAACAAAAATATTTACACGCTAATGGCGCGGCTACATTACAGTAGTGCGCCGCGCGTGTGTATGCGCGCGCGTACGTGTGGTGTGTTTAATTAAAATCGTTGCGAACACATTTTCGTGTACGACGCCGCTATCAATGCACGACGCGGTCCATTACCGAGCCGCCCGTTAATTATACGGTTTTGTCGCGTTTTAACGTTTCGCGCGACGCCTCGGGGCTAATTATTACTTACATCACAACACCACGTCGCGGGCGAGTAGTATAAAACAAAATATTATAATTGCGCCGGTGGAATTGCACGTTAATCGAATGCCGCGCGGCGAACGAATAGCCGCGCACAGTCGCAATCGTCAACCGCGGTGTTGTTTTTTTTTTTTTTTATCTAAAGAAATCCTCCGCGGATCTAGACGGATACGTTTGGGTTATTATCGCGGCGGGTAGGGGCGAAAGTCGGTAACTGCGCAGGAGAGAAAAGCAAAAGCGGACGTTTTTCAAATGCGGCGCTGTCGCAAAACTGCTCAAGACACAAATTTGCACAAAAGAACAACGGACCGACGAGTGTACAATACCGGGTATAATAGTTGATTTAACGGTTTCATCAATTAACCATTAATATTATATTAAGACGATGTTTTTTTTTTTTTTTTACGAATCCGGACATGTACCGAATCTGGTATAGTTGAATACTTTAATAACACTTAGCTCTATTATGCGCCATGAACGAAATTGTCTTTTATTTTTTTTTTACCTAGATAAAATGTAGCTGTTTTTTTTATCTTCACGTAGATAATTGTTCCAGCGACAATCTTTTATCTCTATCCGTATATTTTAAAACGTATTTTTATACAACGCTGCTTGTCAATCTCTACGTCAATGTTCTACGTACGGGTGTTATATTATTGCGTAAAGGTCGCATTTACCGCGACATCGTCGACAGCAATATACGAGCATCAGTCGACGGATTTGGTTTTCAGAGTGCAGATTTATAATACAAATCCGCGGGAGATTAAAAAAAAAAATTACGTCGGAAAAGTCGTGTTGAGGGGGGGGGGGGGTCGGGTGAACCGGAAAGACAAAAAAAAGCAGACTTTCGTTTCGTCAAACAACACGTCGTCGTTTGTGATGCAGCCGCAGTGATTGGTTTTAAACGAATTTCCGTTTTCGCCTACGCCACCGACGACGTGACACACCGCGTTGACTGCTGGCGGAATTCGATAACTTATTGACACTAGATTTTATAGTTTTGTTTTTTTTTTTCGGAAAATGAAAAAACCGCCCAATACAATATTGTCACGTTATTACAATATACGTTATTTTACTAACGCGCCATACGATCAATCTTATTGGCCTCGTGAGTAGCTTAGAGAAAGGATGGGGTATTATGTGGAAACTCCTTTGCCGCGAGATGTTGAACGTTTATTAAACAAATGTTGGAAAACTGACACGGTTCAGAACAGTGTGGTTAAAAGAGCATCTAACCTCCGCTCGAAATCCCGTAGAAATCGACCGTACAGTTTCCTCGGAAATTCGAAATGTCATCTTAAAAATCTAATCTGACCTACGTTTTTTTACTTAAAATTTGGGTGTTTGCTCCAAAATTAGCAATCCACGCCGAAATATGACACCGTCTTGTATCGATGTGCGTGTGAAAAATGTAGGGCCACAATCGCAGTAATAACACAATTTGTTGTAAAAATAACTAGCCATTATGAAATACATGTCTCATAATAATTATAACCAAGGCTAGGATTTTATAGCACTGAAAATAACTAAAATATGCGTTATATTATAACCTAAAACATCTTAAAATAAGCCATAATATGCCATTAAAACCATTAAAAATGATAAAAAAAAAAAAATTAATGTATTTTTTTTTTTTTAATTTGTTTAAATAATAATTATATAAATACAACTTACGAGATGTCATAAATGTACGGCTCGTAGATTGTTCGAGGGGTCAATACGCCAGACTACTTAAAAATAGATTATGATATGAAACGAAAACGTAAGTATTTTTCTCATGGATTCACATAAATGACAGATTTGTTCTATTGTTTATAAAAAATACAAAATAAATCATTGTATTATGAATGTTCGTAACGAAAATTTCAATATAATACTAAAAATGTAGAACACTTCAAATAAACAAGAAAAAAGAAGCGTTGTACAATTTCATACTAAAAGTCTTCGATGCGTAAAATAAACGTAAAGTTATGCTATTTTTTATCTGTAATAATTAGCAAACGCTATAAAATCAGGGGCCTTGATTATAATTAATAACAACATGTAGGTATACAAAGTCCAGAGTAGAATGTGTAATTTACCGCGGTATGCCGTATTAGGCGATAATGCCGTGATATTAGCATTTTTATCGCCGAATTTTGACGTAGCACCGCAGATGAACGCTACGGACGCCCGACTCGGTACCCGTACTCGAAGCCAACAGTCGGAATGTGGATTGGGTAACGTTTACAGGCAGATGTTGTCGATCTCAATGACAAGTTCTCACCGATAGCCTATGTTTAAGTTGTAAATCAAATGCACACTGTAGTGTATTTAAAATCGTATTTTCGACGATTTTGTAATTATGTTATCATAATAATGTGTCGACAACGTTGTCCGACTTACTTGGCTCCGGAGACCCGCCCGGGTACTGTAAAAATACGGAGTCCGGCCCTTTCGTACACGATAGTCGCGCGGAGCGGTATAGTAAATTATCAAGCCGGTGTGCGACAATACCAATTACCGTACTCGCAACGCCTCCGTTGCGCGCCCGTAACGAGCCGCGGAGGTTCGCCGCTCGGCGGCGTCACTTTGCTCGAACCGCGAACAATTAAAACAGCGGCTTTGCGCGCGTTATTCCCGTTTTCCCGCCGCAGCGCGCCCGGCGAATCGGTCTCTTAAACGGTACCGCGTCCGTGATGCGAAATCGACTTTCTGCGTAAATTAATACGCCGGGTCGTGTCGTACGACCCGGTTATCGTATCGCAAACGCGCGCGGTATTATCGAACCGCGTCGTACGGCGTAGATCGCGCATTAAAGTTGTACCGCCCGGAACGGCGGCTAATGTCACGGCGTTTCCGTTTTTTTTAATTTTACGCGCGCGCGTGTCAGCCGCCGTTTTCGCAGTGCCGGTTTTACGGTCGACCGGTCGTCGCTATGTTACTATGCTCGTCGGCCGTGCGACCTGTACGTCGATTCGCGTGGGACGGATCCGAACACCCGGTGTTATGCGAAAATCGCGCGTTCCGTATGCCGAACGAGGACGCGCGGTGCCGGAGCGACGGAGTCCCGGCGCATCAGTGGTCGACGGGAGCGCGCGCGCGCAGACGACCCGTGTTCGCTGTAAGCGTCTGCAGCGTAACCGGTAACCGCCGACCGGTGTTCGAACGCCGTACGGGACGTTCTCCGAGACGGTTGAGCCACGGGTTCTGTGCTGTCTAGCTGGCGCTCGCGCGCCGTGACACGCGCGCGTTTTTCTACCGGCTACGGTATCGCGCGACGCGCGGATCGGAACCCGCGGGCCGCGGAAGGGCGGCGCCGCTGCGCTGCAACAGCAGCGCTGCGCGTTCGCCCCGGGGAAAACGGCCTCGCGGTTCCCCGAGTCGCGCGGACTATTATTGAAAATCGACCCGAAAAGCGTTGTCCTGCACGCGCGTACCGATCGACGGCGACGAGGCGGCCGGCATTGAAACGTACCTCGCGTCCACGCCGATACTTACCTATAGGTAAGGCGACGAGCGTACGGATTGTATAAAGAATAGTAATAATATTCGTGTGTGTGTGTGCGCGCAGTATATACATACACGTACGTACATATATCTCATCATCACGACTGTTAAGACGACGTTTTTATTATTACGGTTACAACAATAGCGCGTGTATCATAGAACTCGCGGGATATAATAATAATAATATATAAAAAAAAAAAAAACACATTTAATATCGTGTGCAAGTGCGCGAGCGTGTGTGTGTGTGTGTGTGTGTACTAATACTTATACGAGAACCGAGAGAAAAACTAAATACTCTTTGTCGCGTATTAAGTATATATATATATATATATATGTACGTGTACGGGTATGTACCCGGTTATTACTATACTTATTATAAGTTATATAAGTACGACTGATGCGTATAGGTACCATCGTCATAATATAATACGGGACCGTATTACGGTGTATAATACAGAATATTTTTATTATTATTATTTTTTTTTTTTTTTTTTTTTTTTACCCCAAATCCGATTCCCCCCCTTTCCCCCCCCCCCTCGCTCGCCGTAGCTCGCGGACGACACACACACACACACACACATTATTACACGTACACCCATATTATCCCCGCGCGCTACAGCCGCTGCCGCTGCTGATGCAGCTGCCGTTGCTGCCGCTGCCGCTGCCGTCTCACCGTCATCGGCTATCCGCAGTTTTATTATCGTCAGCGGCGTTACGCTACACCGTGATGGGCACCTAAAACATTATTATTATTATTATTGTTATTACGGTTCGCGGATTTATTTTTGATTATATTATACGATATCGTTTGTAACGCCGCCCGGCCGCGCGGCAACGCCGGGGCGTCGCGGTCGTTCGGATGGCGCGCGGGCAGACATCGCCGCCGATCGTCGTGTCCGCGATAAAAGCGCGAGGCGTGTACGCGTCGGCGATCTCGTTAGATAATCGCGTCTGAGAATATCGGCGCACGCGTGTTTATAGACCGGTACGTCCGTATCTCGTACCTATTGACATTTCGTCACCGCGCGTGTGTAGCGCATACCTTGTAACCGCGCGATTAAACTCGTCTGCCCGCTGTAATATGATTAGTACACGGGTACAGAAATTACGCGAATTCAACGTCGTCCGTTCGTCCAACGAGTATAGAGTGCGGTTTATACATTATCGCTTAAAAACAAAAAACGAAAAAAAAAAATAGTTTAAAAAAAAAAAAACAATGACGGACCGTCGAACAAGTCCTTCTTCTGTTCTTTGCAAGATGGTCTTTTCTTTAGGCTGTTTTCAATAGTCTTTATAATATTATTTAGTTAAACGATTTACGCATACCTATACGGTCGAGACATTATTGTTACGCACAAGGCCAAACATTTCCGTAGCTAATGTAATGGTGTACAGTTCGCGATCAGTAGGGAACTGTATGTACTTAGAATTAACACAAAAAAAAAAAAAAAAAAGCTTAAAAACGTCATAAACGCTCTAAAAAATCACTGAAAAATATTTAAAAGAACAGTAGAGGTAGAGGGGTTTAAAAGGTTCCCCATCCATTGTTTCTGAATTATTAAAAATAATTTTTTAACACTAAAAAAACGATTGTTACAAAGTAATTTTCTTCAAATATATTTGTACGTGTTACAGAAAGACAAACGTGCAAGCATGTCTTGGTCTCACCTAATCATTTGTCAGTGTTAGAAAAATCATCTATTTAATAGAGTTAGAACCGTTAAAGCGGAGACGTTAATACCCCTTTACCACTTTTGCTTTTTTTTAATATTTTATTGCATTTTTGACGATTTAAATGTTTTTTTGCAGATTTTAAGTACACATTGTTCCGTTCCCAATACTATTTTAATTTAACGAGTTGCATATAATGTAATTTTCCACCTATTAGTACGTTTTGTTTGACGATGTTTTCGATATTTTTCGTTCTTTTCACGCGGTTTCTTAAAAACGTGGAATTTCTACACCCGGGGAAGCATTTTTTTTTTTTTTTTTGCCATTCGCGCGGTATCGTTTCAAACTACGCGGTGTTTATTTAGTTTGAAACGTTTATCGAAACGTCCAACGAATCGCCCCCACCTCGTCGGTCCGCCGTTTTCGCGCGATCGCCGAATTTCTCGGTATATTCGCGGAAAATCCGGGGAGCGGACAGAAGGGACGGTCCGGTTTGATCCGCTATCGGGCGCGCCTATCAGCAATATACTTTGAAACGAGTGGATAGTGTGGATAGTGTGGACAGTTACGCTCGATATACTTACCGGGACCGTGTACAATAATGATACAAGTCCTATGCAATACGCGATCACGTTTGTTGTTTATTTGTTTAACGTACACAAAATAGACACGAGACGAAATATCGCGACGGGTACAGTTGTCAGGGATTTAACATCCGCTCTAAGCTACGGCGTGTATTGCAAGAGATGACGAGTTCTCGGAAACAAAACGAACAATAAATCGATTACGAACTAAAAACAGTAACTTAACCTAACGTTGCAAGACGGAGACGAGACTATGGAATCGCGTTTAGGACACGTGTATACAACAAATCCGAATTCCAATAGCCGTTTGATTTGTCGGTATTGCGTTTTATCTTTACATTTTCATAAAAAATATTTTATTCAGACACACGGCGTCGTAACTGTGAAAATACTCAACACTTAAATGATTTTCATGTGGCTTAAACCGCTGTTGTTGTTTTTTTTTTTTCGTTTTCTCCGTGAAAATCCGGATTTTCGAATTCCCGTCACTAATACATGTACGTACGTCGTACGATATTTGAAAATTCAACACCTCCCCCCTGGGCGAAATGCGTAAATACGCCACTGTTTATCCGCGGCGACCGCAACGCGTGTCATTAAACCCGCGCGACCAGATCGCACGCCGCCGCCGCCGCCGCCGCCGTTGTCGTCGACGCCATTGTCCGTCCCGTCTCTCGACGGCCGTTGTTCGTCGCGTCGTTTTTCCACGCGCCGCCCCGGCGAGGATTTTTCCGACACGCCGCCGCGCGATCGTCGCCACCTCCATCGCCGATAATGATAACTAATAATCAAAAATAATAATAATAATAATAATAATAATAATAATGATGATAATACGCGTGTATAATGTCATTATTGTAATGTGTGTAACGCTCGGTCCTGTCGGGTTTGTGAATGAGTGTTTAGGCGAAAGTGGCGGGCACGCATTACAATACCGACGAGGAGGTGTACGGGCGATAATAACACGACGCCGCGATACGCGCGGGACTCGGCGCAAATTTATAATTACAGCCGTCGTCGCCGTCGTCGTCGTCGTCGTCGTCGCCGTCGCCGTGGTAGCCGTGGTAGCCGTGGTAGCCGCGGTCGCGGACGAGGCCAACGCACCCGCGAAATTAGCCGCCGTTTTTTTTTTTCTCGTTATTACCTACCGTACGTATACGCGCGTACATTAATATTTTTATGCTCTGCCCGCAATAATAATAATAATAATAATAATTGTATTACGATACGGATAATAATGAAGAAAAAATATTATACACGCTCGGGTTCCGATTAACATATCATAACGCATACCATTGCGTTTTGTGTAGGGCGGCCGGATACGACTGCGTTTTTCCGACCGAGGTCGATTTCGCGTGTGCGCGCGCGTCGCGTTTTATCTCTCTTGTCAACGGTCGGTATATCGTGTGCGTATCGCCGCCGCGGTGTCACTATCGGTTCGGGAAAACCGAAAACAGCCATGTAAAACGATTACGAAATATGATTGTGTTATCGTTAGGGCCCGGATATATGCGCGCTAAGAATCGTCGAAAAATTCTCTGAAAAAATAAAAAAAAAAAAAAAAACTAAAAATGCTTTTAAAAAAAATGTAACTCTTGCTTTATTTGACTGATTGGCCGAAAAACCCGAAACGCATTGGTCGTATTTTGAATTAGCTAAATTTAAATTATCAACTCGTATCTCACGGATTAAATATACCGAGTATATTTAATCGATAGTCGCGTTATGTACAAACACTATAATATTATATTAAATTATGCACGTATGCCGTACAAGTATATAACGGAACGAAAATAAATGTTGAAAAATGCGAAAAAAAAAGGCGAAATAAAAGTTCCACCTTTGAAGTCTCTGTTACGCGAGTCAAATTATTATGTACGCCGAAAAACATTGTCTAATATCATTCGAAAAAAAAATGCATTTCGCGTTCAAATCCGGGCCATAATATTATCATAAATACATCAGATTTCGGTCCCGTAAAGTTTACGGGCATTTTTTTTTTCGAAATCGACTTTATTATTTCGTTGTGATTTTATCGTCTCGTAAAAACGCACGCGTTACAGCAATGTTTCGGTATGTATACAATATGATAATTTATACCGATAACCGGTGATGATAGCAATGTAAATGGTTACACAGGGAATATCGTATTGAAACGATTGCGTATCAATAATCGTAAGCGGTTCTGAGTATGTGTGTATTGTCCAAGTGACGATCCGCGCTCATTACCCCTCCGGGATGTTAAACGTAATAATATAAATAACCGTAGAAAATACACGGACAGGCCGAATCTATGCAAATCATAAGACACTCGTGAAACGTAATCTGTTCAATAATTGTAATTTTACAGAACCGAAAGGCTATCAAACCGACATTTTACCGGGCCGCGTTCATGCGACCCCACGTGTTTATGGCGAAAAAGCTGTACTATAATATAGTTTTACTACGTGTGCACATAGTTTTTATTCTCCGCCAATAGGAAAACACTTTTACGGCGAGTAGAAGAATAAAAATACGCGATTTTTCACGCCCTGTACCTGTCTCAAAAGACGCGGAAAAATGATTTTCTATAGATTCCTGAAAAGAAAAAAAAGAAAAAAAAAAACTAACAATAAACGACAGTAAATCGGTTTTGTTTTTATTGATTCCCGGTTCAACACGAACCAGCAGTTATCTAACCTGTAGTTTACAACTCCGTTCAGAATAGTTTTTTCGATTGCAATGATTTATCTTTCAAAGCTTTCAGTATTCTAAACAAAATCATACCGCCTATAATATCCTGTATGCCTTATTTCGACTTGTATCACTGACAACCATGTAATGGCCAATGTTTAGACGTCTGTAAAAAGATGAACAAATTTGGAACGTCGACTTTTTACCGCGCACGCAGGTGGGTGTAAACGTTTCACAATCAGGTCATTTCATTTGGGCATCTCGTCTTGTTCAGCGGAAACTTTTCGACCGACACACGTGCGTTCACTCCCACAAAAAGCGTCATCAAACGCGAAAGAGGGGGAAAAGACGACTTCGACTTGATGGCGATAATTTCTCACCGCGCGGAACACAAAACAATATATACGTCATCGGCACAGCGGCTGCTGCCGGGTCTATCGACTTTATCAGCTGTGAACCGCAGACGCCGAAACAAAATAACGCGTATAATATGATTTATCGAACGTTGTTTGGTGAAAAAGTTCGTTTAATCGTATATTATTTTGTTAATAGATTTCGTCGGAACGGTTTTCGACAGCAACGTGGCCATCGCCTGTCGCCGTCCCGACACGATAATCTAATGCCATATGAACGATGAAATAATATTATTATTCTTCCGTGATGCCGTGGTGTTCTATAAATTAATTAGATTATTTATAACACGGTGATTTATTAACCGCATTAACTCGAGCCGGCCGCCGTATTAAGGAAATCGTTCTGTATAGAAAATCTCGCACGAGTTCCACGGCGGTTTAAAAGTATTTTCGGATAGCGTCTACCTATATAGATAGAAAAAAAAAAAAAAAATGATCTTTTTAATGCACTAACTAGATAAACAACAAAGGCCGTATAAAGTTTTTGACTAGAGCAAAAGTTGTTTACCGACACACACACACACACACAACATATTATAGTAAAACCGATACATGACGAACTTCGCTCGGACTCTAAATCAAATATTATTATATTACGACGCGTGAGATAACAATTAAAAAAGTTTATTAGCGGCATTGTTGTTACTGCGAATACTCGTTACGTACGCAATTTAACATAATATTGTACGCGTGAGAAATCGCGACAAAATTCAATCCGTGTAATGTTATTGATTTCGGTATTCCGTGTGAATTTTTTCGAAAATTCGTTCGAGGGGCCTAGACGAATAGTTTCAAATACTACAACGTACTGCTAGGCGAAAAATCCGTATATTTTACTGTACGGCCGCGTGCACAACGATTCGGAACGTAATTTCGGAACCGGAAAATCCGTTTTCCGCGGGAAAACAAAACGGAGCTCGGGAATTGGCGCGGAATTATAATGCAACGTTACACGCGGAATCTAAACGAACGGAAATTAACAACGACCGTTGACGTGCGGGGGGGGGGGATTCGAACGAAACGGAAGGCCGGTTATTCGAGATTGTTTTGGAGGTTATGTGATTCATTCACCTAATTTATGAACGTGTACGTACATTTGTGTATTTGTCCGGCTACGCGGGTTATTAATTATTATGCGTATTTACTTCGGCGGCGCGCAATGTATTTATTATCGTACGTTTCGGCGTATAGAGGTAGGTAAGTAACGTGGCCGCGTGTCGGCCGTAAGCGGGAACATTAAAACGTAATTATTCCGCAGTCGTTCTCCGAGTATTTTTTTATTATTATTATTATTATTTTTTTTTTCTCTCTCTCTCTCTCTCTCTTTTCGTAGTAGTAAAACCGATATCGGGTGTACTATAAACATTACGAATTATAAATATTAGAGTAATTATAATTACGGACATTGCGGACGTGCTGGAAACGAAACAACAATCCCGAACGGGTTATTTACTTACGCGTTATTAGCGTACGCGTCTAATGCGTGAGGAATAATATTACGGACGTTTTAAAAAAAAAAAAAAAAAATGTTTCAGAATGTATACATACGCGCGCATCTCATAGATTGTTATATAATGTGCGTGCGCGTATCGATATTTTGGCTGTTCCGTACGAATTCAACCCGATCGCACCGCCGCATAATATTTTCAATGATACTGTTAATAAAAGTAATCAATAAATAATTAATATCGTGCTATAATATCTCTATGGCGGAAAAATAAAATAAATTTCAATATTTATAAATGCGCGCGCGAACGTAAAATATTATAATAATCTGTCAAGTTGAGTTATGAGATTTATTCCCGGTAATTATCATTACTTATATTGCTTATTATATACCGACTAAATTAATTACTATCATTATTATTAGTTATCATTTTTTAAAAAAAAAAAAAAAAAAAAAAAAAACTCGCGAGTTATATACATATAAACCTACCCACATTAATAAGTCGAACGGTTTAAGGTCACACGACCGCTCGTACACCATAGGTATATATAAATCTAAAACGATCCATTAATTACAGTAGATGTATAATAATAATCATAATAATATTAATACTAATATGAAGGAAGTATAATAAAAATCATTAATTTATTAATTCGAAGGACGCGATAGTTTTGGCGAGTCGAATTATTATTACCATTTTTTTTTTTATTTATTTAACTTAAGTAAATTATTATATTCATCACGCCTCATTAAATCGTATATTTTTTTTTTTTTTTTTTTTTTTTGTCAAAAACACAATAAACATTTGCACGATAATATAAGCGCAGCGCAGATGGTGGATATTTTGAAAATTACAAGGGGAGGGGTCGTCAAAAGGACGCCACACCCGAACGCTGTATGCGGCATATAGATACGCGGGCCGTGGCAAATGTTCGTCCGGCGGGGTATTGTCCCTGCCGATTTTTTTGTTTTCGGCTCGTTATTTTCAATTTTCAGACGCGATTTCGAATGAATTGCGATATTTCGCATAATCATGTTTCAGATGGAAATTGAAACATCGCCGTAGCCGCACGGCCAACGGTCTTATCTTTAAGTTTAATTATCGGTCGGTTCACCGTCAAAAACTAACAGTGCAAAGTCGTGTCTCCGCGTCTCACGCCGTACGTTCGTGAGACGGAGACAGCAGATTATTTTTACGATTTCGAAAGACTGTTGTTGTTTTTTTTTTTTTTATAATAAACTATAATAGCACAATGCCGCGGTGTCCGTCGACGATGCGTACGGAATGTACTTTATAGCGTATAAAATGCCGCTCGGAAACGCTGTTATAATATCAAATAACGGCTGGCAAAATTACCGTCCGGTCGAACGAAAACGAAACCTATACCCGTAATGCCTACTGCCTATTATACTATTTCTGAAGCTCGGTTGAAAAAGGACCATTTTCGTTTTCTGGTGAAAACGAGTTACATGGCCAATCATATACAATTTTATATGCTTTTTCCAGTGGTAAAAGTGCGTACCCCAATAAACATTATTGCGAGATTTGAGAAGACCAATGTTGCTAGAAAAATTACTATTTCAATATCAAAAAGACCCGGAAATGTGTTTTATTCTTAATGTTCCGTAATCGGTTATCGGTGAGATTCGCCTTTTTCGACCCAAACTCCAGATTTATATAGCAGTGTACACACGCGGAGGTTAAAGTTAGATTCATATATATGTAAATTACTTATCTGAGACCAAGAGAAGACCGAGAGGACGGCCAAGGCAACGGTGGTGACAGAGTTACCGAGGTAGGGTTACCTGCTCCTGATAATACGGGATCGGTCTTGTTAGGTGTTCGTAAATACTTTTCGACGGACGTGCTTTGAATAATTTGGAAATACTTGTGTATCGTATTTTTATTCCGGAATGTAAAATAATTTTGGCTGTGTTAAACCATTATAACATAATAACAATATTTCCGTATTTTACGGTTTTAAATTTTAATTGTTTCTCGAATAACATTTTACAATTAATTTCTACCTGTTCGTAATAAGATTTCTTCAAAAAATATTATCATAATTTAATAACCTATCGTATTAAGAATATTATCGATCTGGCTCTAAATTCAACCTAAAAAGCTAATTTACTAAAATAATTAAATAAGTAATATGGTAGTCGGAAATTCTTGAATATTTTCAAATTAAATATCTATAAATAAATTTAAATTTTATTTGTAATTTATTGTTAATAAACATTTTTCCAAGTATGTCAATTGTATTGAAAAGTAAGTATATTTTTTTATAATAATTATTTTTTATTGCTGTACAGGTAAGATTAAATACAAGACGAGAGAAAAAAAAAACTATCATTGCTCTTCACTAATGTGATGAATCACCGATGCTCTTATCGAAGAGCACAACTATCTTAATTTACTTAACTTACTAACTTATCGATAACACAATATAATAATAATATTAGCTTTTTATATAATATAAATATATTAATATAATTTACTATAGTTTACTCTACGCGTTATGAATGCATGGGAAAATAATTTTAAAAAAGACTGCAGTATGTATTGGCGAACAAGAATATAGCCTGAATCAAGTCAACGAGTAATAAAAAATACTATTACATACAGGGTGAATTTTTTTTCACGGTCTATCTCTGAGGATTTTAGGTGAATTCGATTTCTGATTTTTCTGGGGAAAAAAAATCACCCTCTATGCGATGAATATATAATCGGATAATATTTACGAGTTTTGCGCCGGTTCCATCCCCGCCAAACGTACGTGCCGGTGTCGTAGCGCCGTATTTCGGCGGGGTAATTTTCGCAGGGATCGAGATGCATACCTATGTATGTATCTTTGGTTACAGGATAGAAGGGCTCGAGTAAATGTCAGGCTTTTTTTTTATAATTTATAATTTTGTATTATGTCATTTTTTGTCCCATTATTTTCTGGTCTGAATAGCATAAGCATATTTATTTTAAAAACTAATATAATATGTACATAGCGCGTTTTAGAGTATGAACAAGCCAACATGTATTTTCTAAAAATGTAATTTGCTTGTATTGAAAACTATACACAATTGATCTGAGCCCTTTTTCCCCGGGACCAAAGATATTATACAACTTAAAGGACGTCACTGTATAATGCATATAGAAAACCGTCACCCCCATTAAATTCGAAAGGACATTTTTTCGGTCACAATCTTTGTTACATATAGAACCGCAGAAGTAAGTATAATATGTATACACGCTGGTTTTTTTTCCTATTTTTTTTTTCCTTATACTCTGTATTATTAATGCCCGGGCACGTTGCCATAGCGACCGCGTTCGTCGCCGGCGAAAATGAGAGGAAAAAAATTTGCGTTTCTTCCCCCACGTCGTTTCCGTTCCTCGCCACCGCCACCTCCTCATCCTCCACCTCCTCCTCCTCCTCCTGTCCTTTAACGCCGCCACCGCCGCCACCACCACCGCCAGTATATATAATGGAACGTTGATAAATAAGAGATGCAGGACTAGGGGTTCGTGAGGTACGTGGAGAAACGAGAAGGGAAGAGGGAAGCCGGGAAACGGTCGGAGCGGAGGAGAAGAACTTTTGATAAATAAAAACTAGCGGAAAGTTTCTCGCGCAGAATATAATGCGGTCCGGCCGCCGCCGCCGCCACCGCTGGGGCACGAGACCTGTTAAAAAATACACGCGCGCGGCAACCGCGGTCGACCGACGGATAGAAGGGACGGACAAAGGGGAGGGGGATACCTCGAGAGAGGAGGGAATACCCGAACTCGTATTGATTTTTACATTAGCTTTTTAGCTTAGCCTCGCGGTATAATATGTATACCGTTTATTAAATTACCCCGGGGCCCCGGTACACCGAACACCGGCGATGGACCTTCTCAAGACCCTGTATATATTATACTTATACATAATATAGCTGTATATGAAATTACGTCATTTAAAAAAATACATATATAATGCGTATAAATAAGAAAAGAGTAAGTAATCATTTTCGATCGTTCTGCCGAAGAGAGGTAAGAAAAGGGAGATCGCTCTCGTTTTTTCTGACGACCGTAACACGCACACCGCGAACGGAAGGCAATAAAAACGGCTGGCGGGGGGGGGACGGGGGAAACCGAAGGTCGCGTCGTCACTGCCGATACAAAAATATTACAATATGTTATATTTTATCGGATTTCGATGATTCATAATGTTATCGTTTCGCGAGACAAACAAATTATAATATATTAATATATATTATCATTCTTCAAATATTTTAATATGACTACAGCAAAATATAAGTAATTAAATATTTTTTAAACGTATATTTTTTTCTCAATAACTACAAAGTACACTACAAATAAAATAAAATTTTGATCTCCCCAATTCACCAACTGAATCAAATTTGCTTTCAGAAAAGATGTTTCACTCGATTATCGGAGTAAGATTTCTGGTAGAAAATTTCTCCACCAATACAAACAAAATAATAAATAATAAGTAAATCCAATCTTTGCTCTATCTAAGAATTTGAATTGGAGGTCGATCAGGTACCGCCACATCCGTTTTTTTCTCAAACAACAATGTAAGGAGTACGGCTTCATACTAATGTGAGACATATACGAGTAGATAATCAAGGAAAAATAAGACGAATGAGAGAATATGATGTGTTGACGTTCTAAAAACGTGTTGTTGGAGAAAGGTGCAGAGAGCAAGCTGGACTGAAAGAAGAACAATCGAGGACGTCTCAGAGACAGTAGAAGAAAACCGAACATAAATAGCACAGCTTAATCAAGCAGATCAAGAGAGTGACCGAGAACGAGATACATCAACCAATCAATGAAGGACGCTGGAGTTACTTCTTGCGAGGAGCTCAAGGATATGGCACAAAACATGGAAATACGGATAAATTGTAAATAAATTCGTTATAAGTCGATGTTCGGGCTGAAAATAAATAAACGGATTTACCCGGTCAAATACGCGTTTTTCATTGCGCTACACGACAATGATACCTATGATATGGCGTTTATGTGCATCATTATTGATCTTAAAATTCGACTTTGTGGCACGATTAAGTTCCACATTTTTGTAAAAAAAAAAAATAATAATAATAATTCCTATAGGTAGGTACTTAATGTTATATTTTATGCTTGTACCCGATGAGTTCTTTTTTTTATTTTTATTCAAATATTTTAGTAACGCATGATACCGTGTGACCGCTTGTAGGTATATATACTATAGGTAGAGGTAGGTGTCTATAGGCAGTTCACACGTTCGATCAACACTTCTATACAAACATTACTATCGTGTGTACGTCGGATTTCTTCGGCAAACTCGCGTAGGATTTATAAATAATAATAATAATATGTACCCGTAGAGGAGTACCCGCGTTCGCTCTGTTGTCCGTTCGGTTTTTACCGTATTGTAGGTACGCGAGTTGATTGATTATTCATTTTATACGCCCGGTAGAAAAGGTAAGTAGGTACCTAACTATTTATTTGATTTGCCGGCGTGGCGCGTACAGTATGGTTTCCCTCGTAGGAAATCGTTATTATATAAAATATACCGTGTTATCTAATTCGTTCGTGTTGTTCGCTCAATAATAACGTTCATGTGTTATATTCGAACAATACGTTTAACGAATAAAACACACGGTACACGTAATGATATTATATTTTTTTAATACGAATCTCGAGCTTTGAAACGGCTTTCTTTAAAGTATTATCTACACAAATCACGACGGGGTTATCGTTTTGAATACTACCATGTTATATTCCACGAGCAATACACGGAATATAAATCGTCATAATGTGTATACCGATAATAAAATTAGGTACGTCCATTTAGAATGGTGACCAGTGAGCGGGAAACATTATTTCTCCTATATATTTTTAATTTCAACGTATACGACAACGGCTGTATGATAACACCGAGCGGACGACGCACACTGTGCGTTTGTGTCGTCTCCGTCTAACAAACGCACGTGACATAGCGCGCAAAGAGTGTGCCGATAGTGCAAACACGGATCCGCGGGGGCCTAGGGGCCCGGACCCCCTAGACACATTATTTCTCCGACTTTTATTTCGTTTTCATAATTTTTTAGATAAAATAATATACCTAATGTTTTATATAATGTAATATTACATACAGTTATTGATTACATATTAATATAATGTATTATATTATATTTTAATTGCACTTGTGTTAAAAAAAAATGTTTGCCCCCTCCCTCCTACCCGGATCTCTGTTCTGGATCCGTGCTTGCGATAGTGTGCGATCGGTTTTAATATTATAGCGAATCGAGCAATAATTATCAAATTTGAAAATATGAACATTACCTATATGCGTTTGCACGCATTGATAATTTTCGATTAGTTTTCAAGCGAGATAAAAGCGATTTTTAATTTTGATATTTGATACACTATCACGTCTCGCTTGTAAATTATAATAAAGGAAAAAAACCAACGTCACAACTAATATCTTCTTCTTTGTCAGTTTGATAATAGGTCAAATTCTCTCTGACATTGAAACTAACAGCGCAAAATTGCAGAGTTTGCTGTACGCGAATTTGCTATGTCGTGCATTATAGTAAGACCGAGACTACGAAATTGAATACATAATGTGTAGCGTCCACTTAAATGAACACACATAGTGGTGAGTATATTATATATACACGCAGAGTTAGCCATTATATAGAATTTATTGTTCTTCTAAACATATTCACGCGTCAACTTTTATTTTTTATTAAATTCGTGATTTTTAATAATTGTTTGAAATTCAGAGAAAAAAAGTTTACAGTCAACAGACTATAATAATAATTTAAGAATGCGATTACAGCCTGCTGCATATTTTTAGGTACTTTTTCTTGAACTTTAAAAATGATTAAAAATCACGAATTTAATGAAAATAAAAATTCTATAAAATGGCTACCTTCAAAGTTTTTGAAAATAATAAAAGAAAAAGTTATTTCTTTTTTAGTATTTTCATCAAGACTAAAAATGTAATTCAATTATAAATATTTGTAGTCCTTATAAGTTCTTATTAGAGTAGTATATATATAAATATATGTAAAAAAAAAAAAAAAACAGAATTTGTTTTTCATTATTATCTCAAGAGATATTACAATGAATATATCATCGTGAGACATTCTGTATATCTTTTTTTACAATGAATCCGTTTGGGGTTTTCGCCTGTGAAACTCAAAACCATAGACGTATTATAATATATTTAAATGATTAATCGTGTACATTGACTGACTGACGTATAGGTTAAGTAAAACGGTAATTCGGTTAAGAGAGTGTGTTTTTGAAAAAAAAACTTTGTCAAACACGAACATGCTTGTCGAACTACGAATACTATACCCAACGACTCCGTCTAAAAACACGAAAAAGTTTTGGTGTCAATAAGTTTTTCGACGACGGTAGCACGGAGTGTAAAAACTATGTATAAAGTTCCTGTATGCGATCTTATGGGATTGGCCAATTTGTAAATAATACCTATGGCTTATACGCCGCAATATTTCGCGTCCAAATAATATATGCATTATACATCTATTATAATCAATACACTATTCCGGGGGGATCAGATGTGTATGTTAAACTTTTTAGTTATACTAATAAGATGCGTGTTTTTTTTTCTCTCTGTAGACGAATTTTCGATCAGAAATCGTGCTCAAATCATCGGCTTTAGGGATGGAATTATTCTGTCTAGTCTGATGACTAGATCGGCGCAGAATTCAGAGAAATATTGCATACCGAACGAACTTTTTCATAAATTTGTGAGAATATTTGAATTTCTGAGAAATGTTTTTGTTTACTGTATGTGTGGTTTTTTTTCCTCTATCTATTAACGACTTTTCGACCAGAAATCTTGTTTCAATCGCCAACATGAAGGGGAGTTTTTGGTATCAATTTTTGTTTAGTTGGTGCATAGGGAGATCCTTTTTTTTATTTTCCATTTTTATTTGTCACAAAATAATCGTAGAAATCGGACATTTTTACTGAATACTAATATACGATGTGTGTTCAAAAAGTTCCAGGATTGTTTGAATTGCGTGCCAACAGGACGTCTAAGAGCAGTAAGATTGATATTACTGGGTTCTGTGACTTCATTATTGAAGTACATCTGTATCTGTAGATTCTCTACAACTTTCTTTATTTTGATATGACCGATGTTTACTTAAAATATTGTGTTCTCTTTTTGTAATAAATCCAAAAGAAGAGAATTTTTGAGATGAGGGGGGACGGTGCTGAAGGAGCTGGTTGGAGAAGACTTTTCATTCACTTTGATGATATTTTTAGAATGTAAATATAGCAATTTTCTGTGAACAGCGTAGTTTCAATTTTAGAAGACTTCTTATAATTATAGAATTGTCTAGACGAGATACGATTTTCATAATGTTCTTGTTTTACTTCGAGCTGTTGTAGATTTTTGAAGTTTTCGTGGTTTTTTTTTTTTGATAGGGGAGAATTTATGCGGATAAAAAATGTTTAATACAGATTATAGTATCGAACATAGAATTTTGGTATTGACCTATTAGGTACGCGTAAGAGTTGCTCATCGCTGCAGCTAAAGCGGTATAATATAAAATATACGACTGTACACACACACACACACATACACATACGCACACATACACACCCACACACATACACACACGCACACACATACGCGGACTGTTATTTCATAATTATCCGAACAAAGAAAACAATAGAAACGCGTATACTGCAGCAGCAGGAGAGACAATATGAGTTACAAAATCGGTTATAATTGAGAGGTCGGGATCGTATACATACATATATGTATATATAAAAAAAAATAATAATAACGACAATAAATAAACGCGCGTACGGTAGTTTTTTTGTATATAATATTAATTAACGTGTCATTCTGGTATAATTATGCGTATACCGTTCCGCAGCAGCTCGACTCGCGTGCACCGGAAGTCTTCCATTACATCTCCATTCAGGTGACGGTTTCGTTATTCGTATAGTATGTATACGTATAGAGAAACCGTTCTATTATTCGTACCTGTTATATACCTCGTAATTATTTCTTATAAACGAACGTCGCACAATAATTATTAAATTAGTCGCCGTCGTGTTTGGTTGTGGAGTTTTTTTTTTTTTTACATTTTAGAGTTCGTGGACGCCTCGCTGCAGTCATTATTCTACACATCGGGGTACACATGCGAGCCGCGGGGTCGTGACTCTTCCTATGATGCCGTACGAAATAGAACAGCGAGCAACTCTATGGAACGACCGTAACGCGCGTATACGGTTGAATAATAATAATAATATTATAATACACGGCGAGGCACTGACGATTTTGAAATGCGCAAAAGAAAAATAAAAACGACGGAAGTATAATTCGAACCACAGCCTATAGGTGGGAAGTCTGAAACGCGTAAATTACCCTAAATTACGCATTAGGTACGCGGGCTAATTTAATTTGTACGCCGAAAGTGAAGATATACCGAAATGGTGTTTTTGATCGGGACAGTATAATGATCGTAGTGTAAGCCAATTTTTTAAAGAAAAACTATAACTAAACATGTGTCATGTGAATAATTTGAAACGTATTTACTAATCGAAAATGTTTTAATGTAGCTTCTTCGCCACACCCAGAATACAAACAAAAACGCGATGAAAAATCGAGATTGTAAGTGTATACCAATCCAACAATCGAATTCGCAAAGTTCTATAACAATATGTTATATGAAAATCGTCTACGTTATTTCGTTTCCTTGGTTTTCGGCGTTCAAAACTAAAATTTAATGAAATAAAATTTATTCGCGTTAATGCATAATACGATACCAAATTTATATTAGACCCGCACACACATAATGTGGCCTCATTTCCTGGTCGTTTCTTCGATTTTATCGGCTGTAGAAATCACAGCTGAATATACAAAATGTACGTTTGTTAATTGAATTTTTTGTTTGATTTTCAGATTATTCGTATAATAATCATATTCATATACCAGCAATTTTTGTTTGTTTAATTTTGATTTTGAAATGACAATAAAATTCGAAAAAATAACGCAATGTGCAAATGTTGCTCTGCTTTTATATAATTATGAATAACAAAGCTTATATCAGTATTATGCAAGACGCTTCTGATAAAAATATTCTAAAAATGATTAGCGATTGATGTCTTAAAGACAATTTACATGTTCAGTTGCACTATATGACAAAAAATAAGATTACTTAAATAGCCGTTCGTTTTTTTTTTTGGTCACCGCGAGGAATAAGGGCCCGGGTGAATTTTTTTTTATAGATTTCATTTCAAATAAATTGATTTAACAAACATCGCTATATAACAGAATGGCATAATAATGTTAAATGGTTAAATTAATAAATACGTCATTCTGACCGGAAAAAAAGAGGGGAGGGGGAAAAGTTACACGCGACAAAATCGATAGGAAAAAATTTCGAAAATCGACTTCAGCCCTTCTTCGCCGGAACTGATGAGTTATTAACGACGGCATTATCGCGTCGAGATAAAAATTTAGATACGTCTAAATTAATGAACCCGTCATGCGGTTGTGGTTTCTAAATTTTGATTCTAAAACGTATATTGTAACTATACATAATTTTTTTTTTTGTTTTTTAGATATTATCTTATATACGATTCGGCGGATTCTGCTGCAGCAGTGCTATACGAACCGTCGATATAACGATTCGATCGATTGATCACTGTCAAGATACTTGTTTGTGTAGGTATGTACCTTTCGTATTATATTCCGTCTGCTGCAGGTCGTTTCGGAATTCGTATACAAATATTATAACAGGTATATGAGGCACAAACGATCCGGGAGCGGTGGGAGGGGGAAGGGTGGCAAGTACCACATTATAATAATATATACGGACCGATTTTATTCGAATAAATACGAATATTATTAACACGGTACGGGGATAGGCTACCCCCCCCCCCCCCNCCCCCCCCGCGTCAAAGTTGTTCTATATATTTTAATAATTAACGATTACGATATTTCCCGTTGCCCGCGAGGTAGCCGGGCACGCGGACGGTCGAATATTGTTCGGGTGGCCCGCGACGGCCGATGGCGATACGTTATAAAATAATAACATGAACTTTGAATGCTTTGTTATTATTTTTTATTATTACTATATCGCCGCGCCTACGCCTATAGTGTTATAATACGATTATCGCGGTAATATTCTCCGCGGTGTTCCACAGTTTAGGAAGTGCTCAAATAAGTAATACGCAATGATGTACCATACATACACGGCGATTTTGTCGACACCGTGTTATAGGCAGTAATTTACACGAATCGCGGACCTGGGACCGGAACCGAAGGAACCGGTTCACGAAGACAATATTTGAAAACCGGAACCTTTGCTGGATCTAGAGTTGCAGAAAAAAAAAACCGTTTTTTCTTTAAAACTACGTTTTTAATGTTTTTAACCGCTTTTTGATATTAAATATTATGTTTTAAACGATGTTTTTTTTTTTTAAATTTAAACGCAAATGATAATTTATTCAGTGTAATGTAGATAATTATGTACAGAAATCGTAAATATATTACAAAACTAATGTACTAAATACTTATCGATTCCGGATGATTATTTGTTGAAATTCTAATCGGTTATTCAATTAGATATATTCACTCTTTGGAAACAAACAATGTAATTACACACAAATTCTAGTTCTAGTTCCTACTCTTTAGTCTCTGCAGACTACAGAGCCAACCCTCGGGCACATTATTTAGTTTTAAGTTTTAAATTTTAACTACACGGCTGATAGTATAGGAAGGACTTGAGGTGATTTCTGTACACGTGTTGATATGTAATGTATGTGTATACTCTACACACTATAATTATTGTAACGCAATCTGCTATGTAGAATATATTTTTAATTATTTGATTTAAACATTCATTAATCAGTATAGTGTATTATGTTTATGTATTCACATAAATAATATACGTTCATATTAATTATTATGTTATACCTTGAAATTTGAATTCTGTATATTTCAACAAATACAAACCGATTTTTTAAATTAAAACAACAACTTACACATATATCATTTATAACACATATAATTGTAAATTTTCTAAATTTTTTCTTTATGCAATCATAGACTTATTATGATGTACGATAATAATAATAATATTATGATAACTACATTCTGCAAAAAAATTTAAAAATAATATTTAAAACACTTTGCAACTTTGGCTGGAACTCGTGTACATCATTTTTTAATTCGATGTACCTACCGGTAATGTTTTGATAAAATACAATTATTTTTGCTTTTCTTTAAGGTTCTTTCACAGAGAAAATAGTTAAACAATTAATTAATTAATGAAAAAAATAAACTGTAAATTTGTGTAAAACACAAACAAGCATTTCTCGGGAATAACACAAAATTATTACATCGTGTTTTCAGACTGCCGACAGTAAGTAGTAAATACAATGCAAATTGAAATTCTTCAAAAAAAAAAATTAAATAAAATTAAGCTGTAGTTTGGAACTGCAGGTGTTAACCGATGCCCCTATATTGCCTCATAATTCCTGAACGCACCACTGTTGATAATCCTTATATCCAGAATATAGACTAAATTTGGAATGCATAAATTGCGCCGGAAATCGCAGTTAAAAAAAAGAAAAATTGACTGCGCTAATGGATATTCGAATGGAATACTTACTTACATGTGATATTTGCGCCGATAGATTTCTAAGTACAAAAAAATGAGAATTCGTGTAATATATTTTTAAACATCGTTGATACATATATTGATGAACGTGCAATTTTTTCACCGTATCATTGGGCATCGTGTTTATTATATCAGGTGAATACAAATTCCCGTGCGTCGTTTCTTTCGGCGTTCGGGAAATATTTCTATTCGCTCCGTTCAGATATTTTTGTTCTTTATGAAGTTTTGAAAATGATTCAATTTACACGAGAATGAATGTCGTTGAGAAAGAAAATAAAAATTAAAAATAAAAGATATAAAACAAATAAAAATCTATACAATTATCTGTGCATTTTTCTTACTTTTATATTGTTCATTTCTCAATATAACGTTTTTTTAGAAAAGTAAAATTTGACACTACGAGTCGTAACGGCATTAAAACACATTCAAATACAATATAATTAGCAACAATCCATACTATTTTTCACAATTAATTTTTTTTTTACTTTTTTTTTTTTTATTTTTAATCTAGAACTTATACAATCTATACGTTACAAAATTACAATAAGTATAACGGATGTTTTTCTTCTTAATTATGTAATACAGCGGCTTAAGTAATTCGAGGGAAGAGCCGACCAGTGAAGGCACTTTGGCGATTATTTTCAATAAATTTTAAATTCAATTTGGTTAATTTTTTTAATTTTTGTTACGTACAAACGATCCGGCGCAATTCGTGTATACCTTTTTTGGACCTGCGCGATAGACGTATGCATAAAATACAGGCAGTGTTCCAAAACCGGCACAACTGACGAACACCGACCGAATTACCTTCCCACCTTTATAAAATACAGTAGCTTACCCGCCATGGTTGTAGTACGTTGACTTTTTATTAATATATTTTTCGTTTTGCCGTTTCGAGTGATTGTATTTTAGAAAACCGTTTCATAATAATATTTCCACCTAATATAGTCGTGGGACGGTGCGGATACCAGAGCGCGCAGGATCACTACGCGGAAGTGTGGGAGGTCGAATTTAATAAATTATAATTCGTACCACTCCTACGTTTTAAATAATATTATTTCGTCGTAATTAATAATAATTTGACGATTAAAGTATATTTAGTCAACAGTTGAAGCGTATCGACATTTTCGTCACATCGTTTCGTGAACATTTGCAGTGTAAAACACGACACGGCCAAAATGTGTATAATCTGTAAAAAATCCAAATAGGTATATTTTATTTTTATACGTGACAGAAAGAGGGCACAAAAAATATCGATAAACAAGTCAAATAAACGGGCGAGTGCTATTGTTGAAACAAAATCGGCTTGTATGTATATAAGTATATTTTAATCAAAGCGAATAATTCGCCGCCACGTTCGGACGTGAGGTTAGCGGCAAACGTCAATGCCAGAAATAATATTTGCACATTACATAAAATTGAGCGTAACAGAATGCAGGCTTAGAGCCATTGAAAATATCGAGGATAGTTTTATTTGTGAAATATTTTGTGATATTTGGCCAAACGTATGAAGAAGAAAATCCAATAAAGAATTACTGGAAGAAATGTGTTTAGCGCCAGTTACTATACACCTAGTTAGGTACGTAATAGGCCACCGAATTCAGGAACATATGAGGTTATCGGAGCAGTCTTGGAACAGAAAACAGAAGGGAAGAGATATCGAGGCAGGCCACATTCAAGACGCTCCTTAGAAAAAAGAAACATTAACCCTTAACTGGTATCCTTATATGTATTCACGTAATTGGTAGTGTCAGGTCAAAAATGACCCGACATTTGAATTACTTATAAGTTTAACAATTCTTTTAATTTTTTTTTTTTATTTTTATTATATTCTATGTATTGAAATTAATATTTTTCATCTAATAACACAATTTTTTTTTATCAAATATAAGTGTTTTATGCAATTTTTTTTTTAAAAATCCATGTTTTAATTTGGCGGGTCCAAATTTTTTGCTTTACCACAAGTACAAAAAATGTTCGGCACGCCACTGACTCAAAACAGCTATAAATAGCTTTTTCAATAAGAAACACGCAATAATTGTCGATAACGAAAGACGTAATATGTTGTTTGAAACATTGTCATAGAATACAATGCATTCTACAGTGAAAAAGGTGCGATCTATTGGAGAAAATTTAAAAACAAAATGTCATGGGTCTTTTTTGACCCATGTTAAACCAGTTAAGGGTTAAAACCCTTGGAGTACAATGATGGAAGGAAATTGTTAGAGGCCCGGGGATACGGAGGGATGTAGCGATGGCCGGCACAAAATCCGAGAGTTACAGATATCAGTGAAAAGGGAGATTTATTGCGTATACATAATATAACAACGATCCGACTATAAATAAACACGAGAGGCCACTAAAATAATCGTTAGCATTATGTTTTTAATCGGGGTGACTGTTTATTCGCGTCTACGAGCGGATAATAAAAATGTTATTCGATTTCCGCCTCGCATTGTACCATACGAACACTACCTACACAATATTATTGTCACAGTAATTATTGAATTCGAATGATAAATTAATATAATAATATTAATTTATTTACACTCGCCGCATGTACATTTTTTTTTTTTTTTTATTTTTAAACAACTTCGTATACGTCAGACGATACAATTTTGATAAATGTATGGTCATTTATAAATGACGTCTAATTTCGAAACTGACGTCAATTCGTTGCATAACGCGTTTGTTTTCGTTTTGATAATAATATTTTGCTTCGTCCGACGGTTTGTACAAATAAATAAACGTTTTGTCGTTTTTTGTTCGACACCACTGTTACTTTTAGCTATACTTTAACACGCGCGTCACTATAGTTGGGGGCACGTAAACTAAACGGGCTAATATTATATAGTTAACAGCTTAGAACCCGAAACTGAATAACGCACGTGCATCGGTGCCGTTTAGGTGGGGGCTCACAAGAGTCACGACTCTCCCTCCCCCCTTAGGCGTGTTGGACACTCGTCGCTGATAAACTCGATTTCTCACAAATATTGTACGGGCATTAATTTATAATAACTATAAAATTGCCCTCCAGTAACAAATTTTCAATAGTTGCATAAGTTGTTATTGACCATAGATATCTTGCTGTAGGTAGCAATGTCACGATTCTATCGCAACTTTTCAACGGCTCGCAGACATTATTATACTACTTACGATTAACAGTAGCACGAGGCTATTCGTGAAACGTATTTGAAAGGAATTTCGAATACTACTCGAGTCGATACATTTGCATCGTTTTAAAAATGCCGAGAAAATCGCTTATAAAACGACCGGTTGACGGCTCGTACGTTTAAATTGGTTTTTAACACTTAAACCTAATAAACTACTTTCAATAGTAAAAGACGTCAAAGTGGACTGTGAGATACAACCCTCCTCGCCCTAAAATACGACGAAAATATTTACGATTAAGGAGTAGGCACGCGGTTTTTCATCAATAGACCGTCATGACGATTCATAAACGAATACAAATGTCAGTCTCGCAGCGATGTACTCAAAAATAATAATAATAATAAGTTACCGATTGCCGGTTTCTGTATGAGATTTTGGTCCGAAAACGGGTTTTATTATTATTACTTTTTTTTCTTCGAGTTTCCATTCACCAAAGACAAACCTTTTATAGCGTATCGGTAATGTCGTATTATACCTACCCCCATATGTACAACATTAATAATAATATACAACCCCGAATCGCGGGATTCCAGACACCTGGCGCACCCGGATAATACAATGAGTGCGCGGACCGCGCCGTTGTCGGCGGGCATTGTGGCGGGCATTACCTGGCAGCGTCCGCGCGCATTAAAAACACACGTATTCGATAATACGCGATACGTTGTTATAAGACATTGTGCGGTGCAGATGGAAAACACGCCGAAATGGGTTATTTTTACGTGATTCCGTGCCGCATTCCGAGGACCGCGGGGGTGTTGCGGCCGGGTGACGTCCGAACTCCGATGTTATAATGGGTACGTATTTATATGGGTACATCCGCGACGTGAAAACGACTCCGAATTTAACATCATTCGTGTGCACGGGGAATTATTATCGTTATTATTACCGTCGGGGATGTGACGCGCGGGTAGTATCGCGTAGGCGTGCGAGAATACCGCGGGCGGTCGCCGGACGTTTCGCGCGCGTAGAAACGATTGTGCCGGTGTTTGCCGGGTAGCACGACATGACCGTGCCGTACACATAGACAATATGTACGCGAGCGGGCCATACCAACGGGGGTATTCGAGTGTGATCGAATAGCACACCGGTTACCAGAGCGGTTACGTTTAATTAAGGTGCGGTATCGACCGTAGGTGATAAAG